TAAAGGGCCATATAATAAATATTTTAGGGCTTGCATGCCCCATCTGCTTTCTTCTTCTTCTCCTTTCACAACAATTTTAAAATATAAATGCTTTTCTTAGCTTATTGGATATACAGTGACAGCCAGGCATGCCTGTAATCCCAGCTACTCCGGAGGCAGAGGAGGGAGGATCTCTGCAGCCTAGAAGTTGGAGGCTGTGTGTGCTGTGCTTGTGCCTGTGGATAGCCAGTGCACTCCAGCCTGTGCAACAGAGTGAGACCCTGTGTCTAAAATTTAAATAATAAAAAAACCCTCCAGATTGGCCGCAGGGCATATTTCCTCCATAGACTACCGTTTTCAGACCCCTGGAATATAGAAATGTAATTGATTTCCGGACATTGACTGTGTGTCCTGCACTCTGTTGGATCATTCCCACTGGAATACAAATGATGCTTTTATTTCCTCAATGTAAAACAAAGTCTTTTTCTTGGGCTCACTTTCCCACCAGCTGATGCTCCGTTTCTTTGTTCTACTATGCAGCAAACTCCTTCAACGAGTCCCCTGTACTTGGGGTGTCAAATGGCTCCTGTTCCTCTCCCAACAGGCTTCGTGAGTCCCAAAGGCAGTGATGGTGAGTGAAGGAGAGAGGGAGCGGGGACACCTGGGGCTGTGGGTCCCTGGGACTCTGCTGCACCTGTGTGTGTAATTCTCCAATGGTGGTGGCCGCTATTCCTGCTCTAGGCTGCCTGCCCATTCCAGGCACATAGTAGGTCTTCAGTGAGCTGAGCCTCTGTGGCCACTGGGGGCTCTTTCTTCTGTGTCTCTAGGACCCTTCCCGGTTTGCCATACTCTGGATTTGCCCCTGACCTTGAATTGAAGCACCTGGCACACAGGCGAAGTCTGTCCTTGTGGAGAGGGTGGAGATTCTGGGGGGGGGGCACCTCATCCTGGTTTATTGAGCTGGAGATGGCAGAGAAGGCAGGAGAGAGTGAGTTTTGGGGTCTCCTCATTGTACCAGTTTCAGGAGAACTGTCTCCCCTCAACCTGAGACCACCCCACAGGGCAATTCTGGACAGGATCTGGGGAGGCTCGGAGGGGAACACTAGATTCCTGGGTGGAGCATCCTGGGTGTGGGAGGAGGAGGCAGGTGGTGACACAAGGGCCTCAGGATATTTCACTTCTGGGGCCACCGCATCGCCTGAGATTCCACCATTATAGATGTCTCTGAACCAATATGGCTTTGTCCACAACAAAAGGTGATGGAATAGTGTGGCAGAGAGAAAGAGTTTGGGCTTGATAGACCTGAGTTCCTTTGAGCTCTGTGACTTGGGCTAGAGGCTTGCCCTCTCTGAGCCTCAGTTTGCTCTTCTGTTAAATGGGCAATTTCCTTCCTCTGGATGCTGTCACTTGGGTCTCGTCACCCAATCCACAGGGTCTGACCCTGAAAGCTAAGGGGAAGGTGGTGGGAAGGCTTTGGGCATTGTGGCATAGGTGAGCATCTGACACAAAGCAGGCAAAGTTTAGGTAGAGCACCTGGCACACGGTAGGCACACGTTATGCTGAGCACTTGGCACACAGTAGGTGCATGTTATGTAGTGTACCTGGCACACAGGAGGTGCGCTTGATTTAGCATATCGACACATAGTAGGCATGCTTTATGTCAAGTACTTTGCACGGAGTAGGTTTACTTTATTTAGAACACAGGACACACAGAAGGACCATTTTATGTAGAGTACCTGGCACACAGTAGGCACATGTTATACACAGTGCCTGGCACACAGTAGGTGCGCATTATGTAGCATACCTGACACACAGTAGGTGTGCATTAGGCAGCATAGCTGGCACACAGTAGGCATGCTCATGTCAAGCACTTTGAACATTGCATGCTTACTTTATGTAGAGCACCTGGCACATAGTAAGTGTATATATAGAGCACCTGCATAAATAAACTGGATTTATATAGCGTACCTAAGACACAGTAGGCACACTTCAGGGAGAGTGCCTGGCATGTAGTAAGTGCACTTTATGGAGAGCACCTGGCACACAGTAGGTGCACTTTATGTACAGTGCTTAACACACAGTAGGTGAACTTTATCAAGAGCACACAGTAAATAAAAAGATTTAGATAGATTACCTGGTACAGGGTAAATGCACATTATACAGTGCACCTGGCACGCAGTAGGCGCCACTTAGATACAGCACTGGCACACAGTAGAAGGACGTTACGTACGGTCTTTTGCACAGAGCAGAGCACTGACCCTCAGCGGCTCAAGTGCTAGTGTTTAGCACCTTCCCTTCACTCCCTCTTTTTGGGTCTCCCTCCTCTGTGCAGCTCTCCCCTGTCCCCGCCTCTAAGTCTCTCACCC